ACCATTTTCTATTATTGAAATCAGAAGTTGTATCTGTTAATATTATTTGTTGGACCTGATCTAACACGACACACAATCAACAGTACTTTTATTAAATAGCCTAATGTTGACAAAGATTAATAAATACTGTTACAAATATATTTTAAAAAATGTTAGTGAATGCATTAAGAATCTTATGGTAAAGTGTTTGACTATACATGTTTAAGTGTGATTAAACACTGTTAAGGGGGTGTAGATATGATGGATGGACTGACTTACTTTGCCTAAGAAGAGGAACTTGTAGATCATCCTCAGGATGAGATACGCCCAGTAGACGTGCAGCGCCTGCAGCACCAGCAGAAGCGCATTGAAGAAATAATATCCCATAAACGGCTCAAACACCTCCATAGACAAAACAAGAGTGGTGTAGATGATCCTACAGGAGAGAAAACACACACACATACACTGTTTAAACACTGAGGAAAGCAAAACACATGCACCTACTGTAGAAACTGAGCCAATAATCGAATCACTTGATCATGTGATGTTCTTAGCGACTGACACTCCCCTTTTTTGAATATATATGAAAATGCACAATCCGAACATAAATAGTAATTCAAGAATGCTTTTGAATATAGATGTAAGATTGGTCTTGTTTTTAAGAAGACATTTGACAGATTTTTGTAGAAGTGAAATAAATTAAGAAAGTGAAACAGAAAAAAGTTCTAGAAGTTTGAGTTTATGAAAATTTAAAAATTGCATTATTCATATTTTATATATTCAAATATTTTTTTTTCCAAACCTGGTGGACTCTAAAACTTTAAGAAAATAAAAGCCAAAACTCTGAACAAGTTGTGTCTCTACGGAAAAGGATCAGGGCCAAGCAAAAATAAAAAAATTAAAAACTATCACGAGATTAAGGTCATTATAATGCAAAATTAAACTCGTTAAATTACGAGAAAAAAAGTTGAAATACAATCTTGAGAATAAACTCATTAAATATCGAAAATAAAGTTGTGTTTTGAGAAAAAAAATTCGAAATATAATCTTGAGAATAAACTCATTTATTTTCGAGAATAAAGTCGTTGTGTTTCAAGAAAAAAAAAACTTGTTAAATTTCGAAGAAAGAAAGTCAAAATAATCGTGAAAATAAATTCATTAAATTTCGAGAATAAAGTCGTTCTGTTGCAAGAAAAAAACCTTGTTAAATTTCGAGAAAAAAGTGGAAATAATTGTGAAAATAAACTCATTAAATTTCGAGAATAAAGTCGTTGTGTTTCGGGAAGAAAAACTCGAAATTTAATCTTGAGAATAAACTCATTTATTTTCGAGAATAAAGTCGTTGTGTTGCGAGAAAAAAAACCTCATTAAAATTCGAGAGAAAAATAGAAATAATCGTGAGAATAAAGTTCTTGTGTTGCGAGAAAAAAAACGTGTTAAATTTCGAGAAAAAAGTCGAAATAATCGTGAGAATAAACTTATTAAATTTCGAAAAAATTCGTTGTGTTTTGAGAAAAAAAAACTCTAAATATAATCTTGAGAATCAACTAATTTATTTTCGAGAATAAAGTCATTGTATTGCGAGAAAAAAAGTCGAAATGAAATGTAAAGAATAAAGAGTTTATTCTCAAGATTGTATCTCGACTCTTTTTTTCTCAAAATACAACGACTTTATTCTCGATTTTTAATGAGTTTATTCTCAAGACTGTATTCCAACTTTTTTCTCGAAGTGATGTGTTTTGTGTGATGTGAACCATAATTTCCACAATTTAAGTAGGCATCCTATTTAGAAGTAATATGAGTATTTTGGCAGATTTCAATATGAATTCACCCTCAATAATCACATAGAAATAACACGCATGTGCCTTATAGCTTCCTGCCACATCACAAATGGTGAATCTGTTTTCTATACATTTAAAACATTTTCAGACTTTAAAAAAAATTAATGTTTGTTATCTTTTGAACTACTGGCCTGAAAACAAACTGAGGTTTCTACCTTTCTTTCATGATTTTCATGTTCATCACTATTTCAAAATAAAGGTCTGAACATGCTTTAGTGCAACTAAATTAATCTTGATTGTTCATGCTTTAAGGAGTCAGGAGCCAAGGCTCTTACTTGCTGGGAAACACAATCAGGCGTGTAACCAGGAATACAGCAGCAAAAATCACAAACAAGGAATCGCACGTCTTCTTCCAGCCGGCATAGTTGAACATCTTGGCAGACTGTGGGAAAAGCAGAACGATTCAAGATGAGCGAGTTTTAGTCTCATACTGTTTCATTAATATGATATTAAAGCTATTATTAAAAAATGAAACGTTCTTCCAGTCACATCAATGGAAAGTTTGCTTAAAGTTCTTTTTGTCTTGAAGGAAGCATGTGCGATTTCAGAACGAATGCAATGATTGGACGAAAACAGAAGGTATATGTACATTTTGTCATATATAGACCAAATCTATTAATAATTGACAGTGTTTATGAAAAACAATTGCCTACCTAGTTCTCATATCATTCACAAAAACATTATTTTTACAGGTGAAACTCGAAAAATTAGAATATCGTGCAAAAGTTAAAAAAATGTATTTCAGTAATTCAACTTAAAAGGTGAAACTAATATATTATATAGACTCATTACATGCAAAGTGAGATATTTCAAGCCTTTATTTGTTATAATTGTGATGATTATGGCTCACAGATATGAAAACCCCAAATTCAAAATTAGAATATTGTGAAAAGCCATTATCATCAAAATTATAACAAATAAAGGTTATTATATATTATATAAAATAAAGGTTATTAATTATAAAAAATAATTATAACAAATAAAAAATTTTTAACTTCAGCAATAATCTGCCACGTGTCGTCTTTAAAAAGAGACCAAACTTCAGTCTGTGATCCAAAACTTTCAAGATTTAGCTCATTCAAGATTTAAACGTAAAATTTAAGACACTTTCAGGTCTATGCTCAAATAGTGAATAAACAGATTATAACTACCTCATAAATATAATGTAGTACCGTAAAATCCCCTAAAAAATACTAAATATTAAATAAAAATATTTTATCAAACTAAAAAAATAGTACAATCGTTTAATTGAAATAATAATAATGGTTATTTTTGAGCGACACACAAACAGTACCAGAGGGTTTAACATGAAATAAAAGTGAAATCATTGGCCAGCGGTTTGTTTGGGGAGTTTTGTCATTGTTTTAAACACACTCGTACCTCGAGGAGGAAATCTGACGAGTCGTGGACGAGCATCACCAGCGTGCCGACACGAATGTAGTTGGAGCAATACGAGAAACCCAGCAAGAAAATAGTGGCAAAGTGGTGGATGATCTGTTCTTTGAAATCCTAAATAAGGACATGATCCAGATTAACACAAAAAGACAAAATAATAGATATCACGGTGATATCTGACATGAAATGTAACCTAACCTTAACCTTTTGGAAAAAAACTTTGTCTTTATTAATAATATTATATATATATATATATATATATATATGTATTAGGGCTGTTAAACGATTAATCGCGATTAATCGCATACAAAATAAAAGTCTGTGTTTACATAATATATTTGTGTGTGCTGTATATAATTATTTTGTATATATAAATACCTATGCATGCATGTATATATTTAAGAATTTTTTGCGCTTAAATTCTGTGTATATACTGTATATATATATATATATATAAAATATATATTATATAAATATCAATATTTTATATATGAATAACACATTTTCTTAAATATATACATGCATGTGTGTGTATTTATATATACAAAATAATTATATACAGCACACACAAATATATTATGTAAACACAGACTTTTATTTTGGATGCGATTAATCGCAATTAATTTTTGCCCAGCCCTAATATATATATATATATATATATATATATATAATATGCACTGTGGTGCACTGTGTATACTTATTTTGTACATATATAAATACACACACATGCATGTATATTTAAGAAAAAAATATTATTTATATAAAATATTTACATTTAAGTATAATATAAATTATATATAAATCTATATACAGTATATACATGAAAATATTTCTTAAATATATACAAGCATGTGTGTGTATTTATATATAAAATAATTATACACAGTGCACCCACATATATTATGTAAACACAAACTTTTATTTTGGATGTGATTAATCGCGATTAATCGTTTGACAGCCCTAATATATAAGTCTCTTTTAAGTAATAATATGTTTTACTTATTTCTCCTCTACTTTGCTTCCTGATGTAGTTTTGTAATAAACTTGGCATTGCATAATACGAATACAGGTCACACATTATATTAGATGTCCTTAACTACTATGTACTGACATCAAAAAATAAGAACAATGTACTTTTGTGTTCACTTGAGGTACGGTTAGGAACAGGATTAGTGGTGTGTAAACATGTAATTATAGATTAAATTACAGCTGTAATTACATGCAGGTATTTTTAAACAAGATAAGTGTAAATGTGAAAGCATGCATGTGCACATCAATGATGTAACTGTCAGTGCATAGAAGTTAAAGACACCTAATATAAAATAAAGTGAGACCCAAATATTGTAGGCTCTTTCGGTTCTCTTTTGCTTTCGATTTCAAAATTGCGGCTGCGTGAAATCGGTGTATTGTGTGAGATCCACAGACAGTAGGTGAGATCTTACTTTTCGTTTGACGTCCACAGACACACAGAGCAGCAGAGACCAGTAGAAGCCCAGTTCAAGCATGTAGTACCAGTAGTGAACGTCCTGCACCGGCTAGAGAAACACACACACACACACAGACATTACATCACCTCTAAGTAACAGTATAAAAGGCTAGCCTCACTTGCAATTTAAAATATCTGTTTTCTATGTGAATTTATGTTCAAATGTGATTTATTGCAGCTGAATTTTCAGCATCATTACTCCGGTCTTCAGTGTCACATGATCAAAATTTCAGTTGTGCTGCTTCATATTTTGTGTGCAAACCGTAATGCATTATTTTTCAGGATTTCTTATTGAATAAAAAGTTCTAAAGAACAATATTTATTTGAAATAGAATCTTTTGTAACATTATAAATGTCTTTATTGTCACATAACAATTTAATTTTTTTTTTTTTTTAAAGATAGTGTTTGGTGTTTTTGTTAATTTTTGGAGCTTGAGAGAATAAATTACCATAGTTTATCTTTTATTAATTCAATCCATCTTTAATGCATGAATAAAATGATTTAATAAGCTGCATCCAAAATCACATTCTCTCTTGAGTAGGTGACAAAGTATGTTCTATATAGTATGAAATTATGAATGTGTGTAGTATGTGTAAATTCTCCATGTTGTCATGATCATGTGACCTACCAGTGTTAGTTGCATCACTGCCATTGAGTTCTTTAATGAGTACTGTGCATTCAGATATACTTCCTTGGTCACATATTGTTTTAATTTCACCTACTATACAGGTGAAACTCAAAAAATTAGAATATGGTGCAAAAGTTCATTTATTTCAGTAATTCAACTTAAAAGGTGAAACTAATATATTATATAGACTCATTACATGCAAAGTGAGATATTTCAAGCCTTTATTTGTCATAATTTTGATGATTATGGCTTCCAGACATGAAAACCTTTTCACAATATTCTGATTTTGAATTTGGGGTTTTCATACCCTGTTAGGCCAATCATATTCCAGAGGCCACCCCGTTAGACACGCCCCCTGAATCAGACAGGTGAGCTCACCTGTTGAGGATATCCTCTCCAGCACTCGCTCTGCTCCCAGAACCAGGGCGTCTGTGAGGAAGAGGAAGACTTTCAGACAACAAAACTAACGGCCTGACAATAAAAGAGGCAGTCATACAGTGAAGACCATACTGAGTCCCGAGGGCCGGAAAAGTGTGTTCAAAATAACAAAGTCTTGTTGATTTAATGCAGGTCGATCTGAAGAAGCGTTCAGATCTATTTGTTAGGACTTTAACTAATTAGGCAGTGACTCAAAAGACACACTAGGGTTCACGTGGGAATTAAGCTTGAAATGACGACTCACGTTAATTAAAGATGCAAATCCCGCGGCGAAAGCAATCAGGTAGAACACAAATCTCCAGCTGGGGAAACAAAAGTAGTAAATACTAGTCGAGATCGCAGTTCTTTTGATGTTTACTTATGCAATCAAATGCTAGAGATCATAGTATGTGCTTTCTATAGTTGTCTGACATACCTGGCATAACATTTTAAAAGACTGAGAAGTATATAAAAGTTCATTTTGAAATCTTTAAATCAGTGTTTTTGATGTTTGGATTTTTTAAAGCTGCAGTAAATGCTTTTTTTAAAGGCAAAATAAACAGTGGAGCTATGATTTTGATATTATTAAAAGCACATACCTGAAGAAAACTTACCTGGCCTCACAAAACTTCTTACTGTTGCTGGGCCGGTCCTGGTTTCTGCGGTTCCTGAACCAGCTCTCAACTTGTCTACGAGTCAGGCTGCACTGGTTAACCAGGCTGGTGATCTCATTCTAGAAGGATTAATGCAAAAAAAATGAGGAATTATGTACCAAAATAGAGCAAGTTAACTCAATAAGCTCAAAAATGCGTAAATAAATAAATAAATAAATCCTACACGCTACTCAAACTTGCATCATTACGAAATTTGATCAGCTACGTGTCAGTCAATCGCCGTTCCTCATGCTCACAATACAACACATGCATATGTATCAGCCGATTTAAATCAAAACATTATAGATTCTATATATATATATATATATATATATATAGTATATATATAAGAAAATCCTCTCCAGATAACAGTATAGAGTAAAAATTAGGGCTGTGCAAAAATTAATTGCGATTAATCGCATCCAAAATAAAAGTCTGTGTTTACATAATATATTTGTGTGTGCTGTATATAATTATTTTGTATATATAAATACCTATGCATGCATGTAAATATATTTAAGAATGATTTGTGCTTAAATTCTGTATATATATATATATATATATATATATATATATAAATACATAATCTATATTATATAAATGAAAAGTTCAGATGCAAAAGCCTCTAAGTGCCATTTGAAATTTTCTTCTAGAATGATTATTTTTATCAAGCTTGTATATTTAAGTTCAGTGATTTCACTTAAATGGCAATGATAATTACCTATTAATTGTTATTTAAGTGAAATTACTGAACTTAAATATACAAGTTTGATAAAAAATCATCATTAAAGAAGAAAATTTCAAATGGCACTTAGAGGCTTTTGCATCTGAACTCTTCATTTATATAATAAAGATTATGTATTTTTATATATATATATATATATATATATATATATATATATATATACAGAATTTAAGCGCAAATCATTCTTAAATATATACATGCATGTGTGTGTATTTATATATACAAAATAACTATTTACAGCACGCACAAATATATTATGTAAACACAGACTTTTATTTTGGATGCGATTAATCGCAATTAATTTTGCACAGCCCTAGTAAAAATATATAAAAAAATAATTAAAACATTAACCTACACTAACATATTCTCAATAAATAGATAAAATAGTGAACACAGGGTAAGGGTAAGCGGGGATAAGAGATGTGTGTATTAATATTAGTTATTACAGCTGTTATAATACCCAATTATGCAGACAATATAGAATTCTACAGGACAAAAATTTATAATATTATCAGAGCCCGTCTAACGGAGAGCCTTGGCACTTCCTATTAGCCCCGTTGTGTATCATCTTGGTTGCAGTTCCATTAGAATTCCACTGGAGGTGATCGCGGGCGAGAGCAGAATGAATGGGAGTCTATGGGGCTAAACGGCTAAATGTGTCTCTTTCACCTGCTTGTCGTTAAATCAAAATAGATTTTATTGTTGATTCCGCAAGTTCAATATAGATTATAGGCCAAACGTCGAATGAACGAGTACTTATGTCCTTTTGATTTCTTACAGGTTAGGCTGTTGTTGGCCAGAACACGCTAGCATTCTGCTATTGTGTGACGTCGTCACAGTTTTGAACGGATTTTTAGAACAGATGAGTGAACTTAAAAAGCGAGTGTATTATCTTAGCCCTCCCTTTCGAATGCAACTTTCAAATTACTTGACAAAAAATTACATCCTGAGAAAAGTGAATTTCTGGGGGTGAAACCCCATTGACTCCCATTCATTCTGCACTCGACCGCGAGCGCCCCCGCATGGACAGAGACGCGTTACTGCAGCCAGTCCAGAACCCGGAAGTAACCAGCCAGTGCCAATTCTCTTCAATTAGACATTCTCTGGTATTATACTGTTATTTTCAAAGAAACACATGGCTAAAGTAGTTCCAGCAGGTTTTGACCGCATTACCGTTCCATATCACTACGCCAAATGATTTCAGTTAAAACAGCTAAAGAGCAAAAACCCACAACAACACTGACCGAGCAGATGCGTATAGTTAACAATAGGATAAAAAAGTGAGTGTGTGTGTACGCTCACCTGTGTAGGCTGTCTGCTGTTTTTAGTGTAGAAAGCTTCTAAATGTGGGGCCGGAGGGACTTTCAAACGAACCTGATCTTTCACTCCCAAAGCTCTGCTGAGAGGAAGCGCCACTCGTCTGAGGAAATAAAACACACAGCTCACGTTTCATTCATCACGACCTTTCTTTACCAAAACAGGCCTTTATTTGAACGGTGCAACAGCCTCACAGAAAATACAAGATTATTTATTGCTCACAGGTTACTCTTCCATTGTCCAGGCGTTGAGGAAGAGCTTGTCATGAGTGTTGTGTGTGTGTGTGTAATATTATCTATACAAATACTCTTTGCCAATGGAAGTGTTTGTATTGGTTGGACTTTAATTAGACGGTGGAAAGATGATCTGAGATCAAACGAGGGTCAGAAGGGTCACGGCATCAGACTCTTTGTGTTACTATAGCGATCAGCTGCTGCAGCAACCGACACACACACACACACACACACACACACACAAACACTGCGTCTGCCTGCTGCTGTTTGTTGATATAGCGTCCCCCTTCCCTCCTATGACACACTACCCGTCACCTGCTCCCTCCGGCACACACACACACACACACACACACCTGTTCCAGGCAGACAGAGTGTAAAGTTACACCACGAACTCACAAAACTAAACAAAAAGACTGATTGCATGTTGAGATACAGCAGGAGAACAGATTCAAGCACACGTGTGTGTGTGTGTGTGTGTGTGTGGAGTACAGAGAGAGGAGTTACACACACATACACCAGAATATCAGTTCATAGTCCTTGTGTTTACTCTTGTAACATTCTCCAGCGTGATGTTAGGGTGTTACGGGTGGTTACCAGGGTGCTGCTATGTGGTTGCTAAGGCTTCCTGACTCTCGAAAAATAATAATTGTATTAAATAAATAAATAATTGTATTATTATTATTATTCAAAATATTTTATTATTAATAAAAATGTGTAATATTTTTATTTTATATTTTATATTATATAAAATGTAATATTTCATATTATAATATATATATGTTTTTTTATTAATATTTAATTAAAAAATAAACAAATCAATAAAAATATATTACTATTGCATTACTGTAAAATATAAAATGTGCAATATTATTATTCAAATGTCATTTTTTTATTTTTATTTTAAATTATAAAATCAAATAAAGAAATGAAAGAAAGTACTATAGTATTGTAAAATATAATGAGTGTTTAATATTAATAATATTAACTTTACTATGATTATTTTTCATTACTTTGTTAAAAAATATACATATACATATATATATATATATATATATTACTATTGCAGTACTGTAAAATGTAAAATAAGCATTGCATAATAATATTATTATGTAATGTAATTATTATTATTATTATATTATTAAGAAGTTTATATTATAAGTATTGCATTATAATAATATTATTATTATTATTCAAAGTAATGTTTTTTATTACAAATAATTTTAATTATTTATTTAAATGTATTTAAATTATATAAATCAAACAAATCAATAAAGAAATTAAAGAATGTTATATTGTACTGTAAAATATAAAACTACTATTTCATAATAATAATAATAATAATTATTCAAAATAATATTTGTATTTTATTATAAATAAATAAAAAATACAAAAAAACTATATTACTATTTCAATAAAAAATATTTTAAAAATAAAATATTTAATAAAAAAATGGTCGGAAATGAATAAAATACGGAAAAATCACAGTGATACCAACATAATTTCCATATTGTAAATGATATTGTGATTGTGAAATGAATTGAGGAGGTCCAACCTCTCGAAGGCGTAGCGCAGCGTGATGAAGCCCACCGCCAGAGGCAGAGCCAGGAGCAGATCCCGCGGAAGAGGACGACCAGATCCCTCAATCTCATCCAGATCATCCCAAACCACTCCCGGAGGAAGCCAGTACTCCTGCTTCCAGAGCCACTGACTGATCCCATCCATCCTTCACACACACACACACACATTATCACTAATGGGGAAAGGTACTGATTCCATTCATAGGGCTATACTGAATGATTACCATATTCATAACAGTTGTGACCAATGCATTTCCATGAGCTTTGACATCATCATTCATGATTTCTGGATAAGCATTGATTTTTTTTATGATTATACCTTTTTTTTAACCAGGACGTCCCACTGAGATTCAGAATCTCGTTTACAAGAGAGACCTGACCAAAAATCACAACAAATGCATACATAACAAACACCAAATTACATTTTCATGATAAAAGAAGTACAAATTTGATCAGAATTTAATCATCCCACAGAGATTGGGGTGGATTACCAGCAGGCTCCACTCTTTGATTATACTTATGAATGTATAACATAAGACAATGCAGGATAATGTTTCATGCTGTATTCATGTTTGTAATACTTTAAACCCAGATTTTTTCCGTATTCTTTCCCCAAATCAAATGTGATGATACTTTTGTGATAAATGTATATTTTATGTCTTTTTAATCCAGAATTAAATGACTGGTTTATTCATTTTCCTTACACACTTTTAATTAGCTTGACAGTGTGCATGTGATTAACACTTAAATCTTTCTTTAGTTTTAATTTTTGAAGAAAATTGAAAATACAAAACAATTAAAAGCAAGTAATGTCTTGATTTGTTACCAGTCTTTTATAGAAATTTAGAGATTAGAATATGTTGCATTTATTTAATTAATATCTTAAGTGCACATATTAATTCTGACAGCATTAAAAATACATTTTGTAAACACATTAAAAGAAACTATGTAACACATATCTGATAAACAGATAAACATTTGTACACATAATGTCAGTTATTATCTTTGTAAATGTTTTTCATTGCACACCTGCCTGAAACATCACCTGACCGACAGATGACAACTGATATCTGTTCTTGTTTTACGAGAAGTAAACAGTACACAGCATCAGACATTGCAAATGCAACAAATCCTGAATGAAAATGTTGAATACCTGCTTCTGTCCTCTAGGTCTCGGCCGGGTTCCTGAGTGACGCCTGATGATGAAGATGATGATGATGCTATTAGGGTGTGTGATGATGATGATGTGCGCCGTTCAGATCAGCGGATTTTAAACAAATTAATTCCCATGGAGATTTGCATCCAGAATCTAGCTCATAATACAATCGACGTCCATTCGCAAAAAAAATACGACACTAAAAAATATCAAAACACATTCTCCTTAACCTGCCCTTGGTGGCGTTGAGCTAAATTATTTAGGAATAAATATTCAATAAAAATAAACCGGAAGAGTCGATTTTTTTGTTTCGGAATCCTATATCTTCATATTCATGTATAAACGCGGAGGTTTGTGATGTCTGATAAACGTGAGACCGTCTGCTCTTTACGAGAGACTGGAGTCTGTCTGTGGGTGTGTCGAGTCGCCTATTGGTTCAGAAGATAATGCGACTCGTTTAGGCGACTCGGTTCTTTTGAACTGCTCGCTTGACTCCTGGTTCGTTTATTTATTAGTACTGGGGAGTAAAAATACGAATAAATAGTCGTGTGTAACGCCCGATTGTGATTATAATTTTGTCCTAATGTCGTAAAAACATTGATTCGTTTTCATTGTGGTTGATAAAATACGATTGTTTACTGTGTGTTTGTTTCAGGCATCCCCTGAGACGCGCCTTTTTACATCAATCACAAAATATGACCTGTGTGTCAAACAGATTGTTCATATTTTAACACATTTGCAATAATTAAGCTGATTAACAGTTAAATGTATTTTATAACCGGAATAAATCAAATTCTTTAACTTACGAGCCCTGATGAGATTCACTTCAACCGACACTCATTAGCCGAACCGATTCAAACCAAAGCGTACAGTATAATCATAAAATGATTCATAAAATAAGCAATCTTACATGTTAATGTTCGGTTTCCATCGTTATAATTCGATGAGACGTCACGGCAGCCAAGAAAACACATGCTGAGAACAGAAAGATGGCCCTAAATGACAAATATTATCAAAAACTATCATGTTAGACATGATATACACCATTGGAGTAGTTTGTTAATACCATGGTATAAATATGGCAATAACACAGTACCTTGGCAGGACAATAGCTAACAAGATAGCTAATGTTCTGGCAATGTTCTCTCAAAGTTAGCCTATCTTCTGCCATTAATAAATTATTTGTTCAGTTAGCCTATGGTCTTTAAAACAGTCCCACAAAAACACTTGTACATCATTCATGGAACTTTAGTTTTATGGAAAAATGTTTTATTTGGACATTCATTTAACATTTTTTTATATGTTACTACTTGTTTCAGAACATCCAAAAGTAACATTTATATAATGTGTTCAGAATGCAAAAAAAAATTAATGTTTGTTTACCTTCACACAACCAAGTAAAAAGCTTTTAATGTTTTGAACATTCTGAGAACATTCCGAAAATGTACATATATTTTATTTCATATAATTCATAAATATGAACATGTCACAATAATGTGACATAATTGCTTATTACTTTTGTTCAGTAGGTGGCACTGACACTAAATTGATCTGCCGTGACCATTTTTGTATGAGATTTTTGGTCAAGCTACTCAGAAGTTAGAAGCAAAACATATTTAATGTCTCGTGACCACTAGGTGGCGCTGTGCTGAAACTGTAGGGTACCCTCAGGTCATGGTTGTCATAACACACACCAAGTTTGATCAGAATACACTGAAGTGATATGGAGACATCCATTTTGATGCGATCTTCGTCATCAACGTTTCAACGTTTTGGTGATACGAGCCAATTTTGGTGGCAATCGAACAAAACGCATAGGACTTTTTCGGAAAATTGGAAATGGTGATAGGCTCAATCGAATCGTCTTGATCCAAGGAATCAGAAAACAACAGAAGCCCTACAGTATTTGCTTCTAGCTTTTATGGTTCAAATGTTGTTAGCATAAATCTAAGTGAAACATTGGACAGTTGGTGGCGCTAGAGGGATTGAGTTAGGGACTTCAAAATTCCTATGGATAATGTTCAGGCTGTCCTCTATCTGTGTGCCAAATTTCACACATTTTTACCATTTGATTCTACGACCTGCGAGACTCAAGAGCGGAAGAAGAAGGGTTTTTAGCTTATTAGCTAGGAAGAGCCCTAGATAGTGTATAAAAATACAATACTAGGGGCCTACAAACATCTGATATCACTGCCATTGCCTTATATGTTCAGTCTCAATCAATCTCCCCCTTATGTCCTAGTTTCTCTAGAACAGAAGTCCCCTCTGGGTAAATTCCTCTCCTAATAAATGAATGAATCAGTCTGTAAGGTTAAACTCCATTCCTTTACATTGTGTAAAGTACAGTATGCTCACTCACATCATGCTAAGCGTGCATAGCAAGGGTAAGATGATAAGATGCAGACAGTCCTCGATGCAATCTCACTTTCAACTTTTAAACACATGCCCAGCATGCCTCTTATTGGAGATCACATGCATCTAACAGGGTTGGTTTTGATGACATGTGACACTCTGTGATGCGGGATGTTGTTTTACATGCCATGCGTGACACGCACTGAACAATACAAGGCGTATAGGGATGACTTTTAAATCATTTCACTGTTTTGATTTGAGAGTAAGTTCATGTCTGTTTGTCACTGACTTTTTATTAGGGCTTTGACCATTTATTTATTCCAATTTTATTCCAATTCCTTTCCCAGATAGGGACATATTTGGCCCAGATCCGGCCCACATCTGGTTCTGTGTGGAATCCAGTCCAAATGTGTACCAGATCTAGGCTGACACTATGTTGCCTTCTTTGTTCTTTTCTATAATCGAACGTTTTCAAAGTCGGAAAACATGTTTTCTTGGGGATACTGGTGAACAATTACACATACTATAAAATATAGCAGAAACAGTAAAATTATATGATTTTCTGAATTTAACCAATGCTTAGTTAGCTATACAAAAACTGAATAAATATATGTAAATGAAGAGTTCAGATGCAAAAGCCTCTAAATGCCATATGAAATTTTCTTCTTTAATAATGATTTTTATCAAACTTGTATATTTAAGTTCAGTAATTTCACTTAAATATGTAATTATCATTGCCATTTAAGTGAAATCACTGAACTTAAATATACAAGCTTGATATAAATGATCATTCTAGAAGAAAATTTCAAACGGCACTTAGAGGCTTTTGCATCTGAACTCTTCAAATATATACAGCTTAAGACAATAAAGACACAATTAGCCATGTTAAAACATCCCTTTTACAGTACTTTTTTTTTTTTTTTTTTTTTTTTTTACAAAATTCACTTTTACAGTAAAGATCAGAGAATATTCTCCTCTGTATGAATGAGAATTTATGAGTAAAAAATGTTAAGCCCATAAATCATACTTTTGTGAAAAAGAAGTGTGCTTAATTAAAGTTTTGCACTTTATATCTTAAAAGTATTTTAAAAAAATGACTTGCTGAAATTACGTATTTTTCATTGTGCCATGGCTCGCAATAAAAATATTAATTAAAAAATGACTTGCATTTAACATATTAAGGAAATAAAATGCCACTTAATTGTACTTAAAGACAGTGCACTTTATTGTAGTGTCATATTAAATGTTAAAAGTACATTTTTAATAATGTTGTGCTTAGAAGCACTTATTTTTAGCACTTATTTTGCAATGCAAAGTCATCAATTACAAATATATTTAAATACAAATTTCAATACGATTACATAAAATGATATTTTAGTTTAACCATATTTACAATAATTATGAAATTATATACAAAGATAATATCTACTTAAGTGGCTACTTAAGTTGCATTAGCCTATATATTTATAATTACTTTCCTTTTCTTTTTTTGTAAATAACATCCAATTAAGAGTCTAAAAAGTTATGCATATTAGTTATGCATTTAGCAAACTAATTTTATTATGCATAAAAGGCATATTATTTAAGCATGCATCTTTTTAAAAGCATGCTAAAGTCTTTTAGAGCATTATGTTCCAGCATAAATGTGTGTACAGTGTGAAAGTCTCCGTGTCCCTGTGGATGAACTTGTGTACAATGGTGTGTTTTGTCGGGGTGAAGTGAAGCAGAACTCTTTTGTGTGTCTGGAGCTTCTGCTAATGAGAGTAATGAAACTATTTCTGGGTCTCTCTGTTATGTTAGATCATGTTAAAACTTTTTGAGCCACTTAAGCAGATATTATCCTTGTACATAATTTCATAGTTATTGTAAATATGGTTAAACTAAAATATTTAGTTTATTGCGAAAAAAATTTATTTAAACATATTTGTAATTAGCTGTGGAAATGTTCGTCCGACTGGTTTTACTGTACTTTATTTTATATTGCAAACTCTTTTAATTATTTTTATTTGTTTTGATCATTTTAATTTCTTATGTAAAGCACTGAATTACCCTTGTGTGTGCTATTTTAATAAACTTAAATAAATTTACTAATTTAATTGGTAACACTTTACAATTAGGCTAACTAGTTAAAGTAACTAACATGAGTTAACGAGTAATTCATTTGTTACAGTATTTATAACAATACAGCTGTTCATTGTTTGTTCATGTTAGTTCACAGTGCATTAACTATTACAACCTGTGATTTTAATAAGATTAATAAATGCTGTTCATTCTTACTTCGTGTTAACTATGTATGTAGTTAACTTATGAACCTTATTGTAAGGTGTTACCAGTTAATGATTTTTACTATTTTATTATGATGAGTCATTTCATCTTTGTTGTTAGCAACTGTCAGAATATGAAGCTCATATTTCATAACTGGGTTTTTGGGTTCTGGGACCATTGGATTTATTATTAAAAGTATATGATTATAATATTAAATGTCATTTTTATATTTTTGTTTGGCCAGTTAGTGGAAGTTTTCACACACACTTATTCACCTGTCATACTCATTGTCACCAGTGGGTGGCGCTTGAAGGCAATGAATTGGCACAGAGTACTTTACTTGTATGACATAGATCAGTCATCACGTGTCAAACTATGTGGAGGTGTTCAGTTCTGCATTCAGTAACACACAATAACCTGGTTTTATGTGGATAAAAACACAACATCAAGAAGACCATTTAGATATGCTCTTAGATATGCAGTGTTTCTTTTTTGCATGATTTGTACAGTGCTAAAATTAAAAAAGTAGTGCTGGTCAATGATTAATTGCAAAAAAATAAGTTTATTTACATAATATATATGTGTACTGAGTATAATTATTTAGTATCTATAAATACTCACACATGCATTTATTTAATTAATATTTGCATTTACATAGGCTACTGTATATGCATAAGTTGTATTATATACAAACATAAATATTTTAAATCTTAAAAAAAATAAGAATTTAATTTAATGACTAAAGTATCAAGTTTAATCGGGTACGTGTGCACAGCTGAAAGTTATGCTACTAAAGCGGTAGCGGTATATTGATATTGAAAAGCAACACAACTTAGTGGCACTGTGACAACCACAATACAACCAACAGAACATTTAAAACTGAATCAAAAAGTAAAACAAACATCTTTAAGGTGTTTTCTTTACATGTGAAATAAAGAAAACAGTTACAAACTGAAACAGGAAGTGTTTCTGGACTAGTGTTGTTTACATCTTGTGAAATGGTCTACAGGCATGATGACAATATGATATTAATAAATACCACTTACCATTTATAAGTTAAATGGCCTTGATCGATGACGATGCCTAGCAGGTTGGTACTATTCAACTCCGTGGACATGTCTTGCCACTTTGCGCTCATCCAGGCCTCGGGACTGCCGAACAGAAGTTGGTATCGACAATTCTTTATCGCATTTTCTTTCTCAGGACACAGCTGAGCGGCAGATATTCCTCCTGTAAGTTACTGGTCCTCCATTAGGGCGATTAATGGCGAGACAACAATAACTACTGGGGTCTTGTGAAGTTTTACGCCAAAAGCTGCTCTTTTTTCAAAATAAACTTGTATTCTAAACTACTTAAAACAATATCTAAGGCTGCATCAAAAGGTAGCTTCTCGTCTGCTGCCATGTTGACGATGTAAACAAACTGCTTGCTTCGGTGTGTCGCATAGATGTCGTCATCGTCTTGCGGCTCCCTCCCCGTTTTGTGATTGGTTCCCTAAATGAGGCGAAAATATGTCCATGATATCCAGAGCTATGATCCAGACTGGGGGAAGGCAGCATGGGGAAACCCAGACTAACAATACTGTGATATTGTCAGGCTTTTCTATTTACAGAATATGATAGCAATAGCATTATAAAATAGCAATGTAGTAACGATTAAGTTTGCAGTGCCTTCATAAATTAGGCCTAACTAATAACATAAAAAAGCAAAGTACACCTTATGCAAATCTTTCTTTCTTCATTTTCTTCAATTCGTAAGTACAAACTCCTAAGGAGGACTAAAGAGACACAGGTGGACGCCATCAGGAATGACGAGTCCAGGCAGAGAGTTATGGGAAATGTAGTTTCATTAGGCAATAACAATAGTCCGGGGTGGAGACAGTGCCCCCTGGTGGTAATGATGGTTTCGTTAATATTTGGTTTATGAAACTGAGCTGCTTCGCTCTTCCACCCCTGAGGATTAACAGCACAATATAATCAATTAAACAATCAATACACTGTCTCTTATTTTACTGCAGCACAAGGGGAAATAAAGCCATGACCTTTCACCTTTCAGCACATAAACCAAAGCAGAAGGGTTATATCAATCCCAAGGGAACAAGGTTGTTTCCAGTAAAAAAAAAAAATCAGTCAAATTTGTATTGATTGACACACGGAAAAAAAATTAGTTGCTGAATTGCTTTAGTGTTACTTGAAAAAATGAGCATTTGACAGACATGCAGTTGCTTTTTTTATATAATGAATGGATTGACTAATAGACTGGTGATGTTAAGGAGCTTTGTGTCCCGTGTGTGTGGTGTCCACAGATGTGCCTGATTAATCATGGAGGAGAAAAAGAGGACGCTGAGAGAAAATGTCATTTATTGAGCAAATATTTCCTTTCAAAAAACAAACACAGAGTAAGAAACATTTCCAGAGAAAAATCCCTGTATGTACACAGTTTTGCCCTTTTAAAATGATAAAACACACACACTGATCCCAAACCGACTGTCAACGTCACATTTCAAAACACTGTAAAAACCACAGTCGGACAACTGAAAAACACATCCTGACTGCAATAAAAGGCACGTTTGCTCAGTGGACAAACACAATGCAAAACACTGAATAATATTAATGAATAACATTGCACATGCACAATCAAGTTGATGAGAAAGGCAGTCACAATAAAAAAAAATATGTTTGTAAAAGTCTATTGCAAGTCAACATAAATTAATTAAAGGGTGTATTAATTTATCGAAATATGAATTTACCGTAAAATGTAGTAATTAAACTCTATAGGTGAAAATTAGTGTTTGCAAAACATCACTAGGGTGAACTGGGTAGTTGCCAGGGCATCACTATGTAGTTGATTAAATGTTCTGGATGGTTGCCAGGGTGTTGCTATGCAGATGCTAATATGTTCTTTATGGTTGCCAGGACATCACTATGTGCTTGCTACGATGTTCTTTATGGTTACCAGGGTGTTGCTATGTGGTTGCTCAGATGTTCTGTACGGTTGCCAGGGCATCGCTATGTGCTTGCTAGGATGTTCTTTATGGTTGCCAGGGTGTTGCTATGTAGTTGCTCAGATGTTCTGTAAGGTTGCCAGGACATCACTATGTGCTTGCTAGGATGTTCTTTGTGGTTACCAGGGTGTTGCTATGTGGTTGCTCAGATGTTCTGTATGGTTGCCAGGACATCACTATGTGCTTGCTAGGATGTTCTTTATGGTTACCAGGGTGTTGCTATGTGGTTGCTCAGATGTTCTGTAAGGTTGCCAGGGCATCGCTATGTGCTTGCTAGGATGTTCTTTATGGTTGCCAGGGTGTTGCTATTTGGTTGCTCAGATGTTCTGTAAGGTTGCCAGGGCATCGCTATGTGCTTGCTAGGATGTTCTTTATGGTTGCCAGGGTGTTGCTATGTGGTTGCTCAGATGTTCTGTAAGGTTGCCAGGGCATCGCTATGTGCTTGCTAGGATGTTCTTTATGGTTGCCAGGGTGTTGCTATGTGGTTGCTCAGATGTTCTGTACGGTTGCCAGGGCATCGCTATGTGCTTGCTAGGATGTTCTTTATGGTTGCCAGGGTGTTGCTATGTGGTTGCTCAGATGTTCTGTACGGTTGCCAGGGCATCGCTATGTGCTTGCTAAGATGTTCTTTATGGTTACCAGGGTGTTGCTATGTGGTTGATTAAATGTTCTGGATGGTTGCCAGGGTGTTGCTATGCAGATGCTATTATGTTCTGGATAATGTGCTTAATAATGCCCAAATGAAAAAAAATATTGATTTGAATAAAATCTGATTTCACTTTTCTAACTTTAGTTGCTTTTTGAGCATAAACAACATCTGCAAAGTTACGACGCTCAAAGTTCAAAGCAAAGGGAGAAGAAATCACTCCTCCTGGCTTAGTGACATCACTAACCCTAAAATTCATATAAACCCCGCCCCGGGAACACGATTTATAGATTATCATGATGACAGAAAATGCTTATCAATAACTAGAAGAAGTTAACTCCACATCAGCGACATAAATTCATCAAATAACCATTCAGAAATGTTCAGTTGCTTTTAGATGTTGTCACTTCTACTCGAGTCTCTCTTTGTCCGACATAAACGTTTTTGAAATTTTCAGTGCATGTGTGTGTGTGAGGTAATCGGAACTACTAACACACAGCTCTTGAAGCTCCGCCCCCCTGTGCCGCGAGCAGCAGCTCATTTGCATTTAAAGGGACAGACACAAAAAAACGGTGTGTCTTTGCTCACACTCAAAAAGTGACAACTTTTACATGCTATATAAAAATATCTGTGGGGTATTTTGAGCTAAAACTTCACACACACACACATCAGGGACATCAGAGACTTTTTACACCTTTAAGATTATTTACTTTAATAACAAATAATACCATTCTTATATACTTGAAACAATTACCTGTTTTATTTGGAGGTCAAACATGTCCTTGACAGTATTTGTGAGTGACATCTACACGAGCGCGTGATCAAACTGTCCCCTCTCTAAAGCGTCTTTGGGATCAGACCAGGATGAGGACGGCATGCTACTGTACGGGTCCAGGAGAATCCGGAAACAACGGACCAGCAGGAACACCAGAAACAGCAGCAGGAGCCCCACGAAACACAGCGCTGTGTTCTGCTCTGAGTCCTGAGCCAGCAGGACGGGGCCCGAGACCGGAGCCAGAGACAGCAGCTCGTACTCCAGCACAGGGCTTTCACTCATCTCATCAGGCCAAAAGATCAAGCGAATCCTAAGGATAATTCACATGGGATGGCTTCAATATCTCAGCTGCATCTCCTCCTCACACTGTAAAAAAGGACAAATCAAAGTCATGTGGTTCAGATAACACAATATTTTGAGTTTCTGTCGATTAAACCAATTAACTAACATTTGTAAGGTAATCTCATACGTGAACTGCGTATATCACATGCAATCAAAAGTCTCGAGCGTTTCTCATTAAATGATCCGAGCTGCTCCACATTCAGCTTTACACTCCTACATTGTAAAAAAAAATATTGATGGTTTTACTTAAAAAAGTGAGTAACCTGGTTGCCTTAAAATTTTAAGTTCATTGAACTGGAAAAAGTGAGTTAATACAATGAAGGAGAGTGATTTAATCATCAGAAACTCAAAATTATATGTTATCTGAACTAAATAAATTATTTAAGTTGATTTGACAAAAGAAAAAATGTTGTGATTACTACACTGTAAAAAATATTGTTGGTTTAACTTAAAAAAGTAAGTAACCTTGGTTGCCTTAAAATTTCAAGTTGATTGAACTGGAAAAAGTGAGTTAATACAATGAAGGAGAATGATTTAATCATCAGAAACTCACAATTATATGTTATCTGAACTAAATAAATTATTTAAGTTGATTTGACAAAAGAAAAAATGTTGTGATTACTACACTGTAAAAAAATATTGTTGGTTTAACTTAAAAAAGTAAGTAACCTGGGTTGCCTTAAAATTTTGAGTTGATTGAACAGGAAAAAGTGAGTTAATACAATGATGTCGATTAATTTAACCATCAGAAACTCAAAATAATAAGTTATCTCAACTAAATAAATTATTATAAAGTTGATTTGACAAAAGAAAATATGTTGTGATAACAAATCTTGAAAATATTTTTTACAATGTAATGCACGACAACTGTTGACTCTTCTGTGTCAAAGTTGATGCTTGCTTATATAAATAAATACATAAATAAATGCTATTAATGCTACTTAAATAAATATCAGAAGTCTCTCCGATGAGAGAGAGGAATAACATTGCAGATCACTAGATGCAATGAGAAAACAGACAGATGCAATGAAACAAAATGAAATTTGTTCAATCAGAGGACGTCCACACCTTCACACTGCCGTTTTTATGGATAATTCCATATACGGCGTTATATTCAGGCATAATTGAGCATAAGGAAAGATAAAAAGCTGCTATTTCCAGCAGGAACGTGACAGGAAAAGCCGCTCTGTGAATAAAGAGAAAGACGGCACACGTAAATCATGGATCGATCGGAATCTCGAAACATTGTGGATCGATAGCGGCCACATGAATCAGGTCATCTCTATACAGGCACGAGGCGTGTGTAACAGTCCAAGGCCCTGACAACACTGGGTTCCCAACGTTTCGTCCCATGTTCATCAGCAGTAAATGGAGACTGGAATTCCCTCTCTGACTTTATTAGGATGGGATTTGAGTGCTGAAAGCTGATTCCTGTCCCAAAGACAGCCGAGTTAAGAATAACTAAAGGGTTAAGGCCAGGTCAAAGGGCATCTATACTGTATGTACAGATTTAGAAAAGGTCATGTAGACTGAAACGGCTTTGGTTATCAAACAGCCTCAGTAGAGGAATGGCAATAGGAGGTTGATATGATTTTTTGGTGACAGAATCAACTTTACTTGTAAATAAAACAAAGATTATTGGATAACCATTCATAAGAAAATACTAGTCAGTCAGTCTTACTACTTACAAATTTCACAATTAGATAAATCTGTTGCTTACACATTTCTGATTCAAATATTGGTAGAGTTTGCCAGCAATTTCTGAGAGAAAATGATTTCAGAGTACATATATCAATTTTGTTTCAGTGTACATAAACCTGACTATGTTAGGTGAAGCACATTTTTATTTGATTTACTATAAACATATATATATATATATATATAGAGAGAGAGAGAGAGAGAGAAAGAGAGAGAGAGACTATATGTTTAATGTATGTATGTGTTTGTGTATGTGTGTGTATATGTATATGCTGTGTATATACATATATATGTGTGTATATATAGGTGCTGTCAAATCAATTAAATCGATAAACACACACACACAACATATTCCCTCTACAAATAGTTTGCATCCATCATCATGTGATAACCATCAGAGAAAGCTGTTATAAGGTTATGAAGGTCGATATGGTGACATGATCAGATGAGTCAATCCTGCCAGTGCAGAAACACACAGATCAATATAGCAGAGCTGATCGATCTCTCACACACTTCAGATAAATCACTGTTTGCTGTGTGTGTACTTGACTGGAGCACCTCTGCATTAAACTATATGACGCATAACAATAAAATGAGAAAACAACGGATTTATAGTCAACACAGTCACCATATAAATGTATAATTATCATTTTGTGTTATCAACTTTCAGGATTATTAGTCACTTAAACATTGAGGCTATATAGTTAGTCTATATAATAGTGTAAAACTCAAATTAGGTTGTGTATACTAAAAAAGTGTGTCTAGTAGCCTATATTGGCATATTAGAAATAATCTCAAATGTATGGTTACAAAACTTGCGCCTGTACTATAAGATGTTTTACAATGTAATCTGATTTTTAAGTCTTTACACTGATAACAGGCGTCATAAGTCTTGTCAAGTTTTCTTTTCCGTGAAATTCAGTTTATTGTATGGCAAATACAGGCTAGGCTATATCAAAATGCACAAAGCACGCATAGTATTTTATACAACACAACAACTTAATAACAAACTAGGTTTAAAATAATGAAACACATAACATACCCATGTTGACGGTCCGGAGCGCGTGCTGATCTGGCATCTCTCCCGCGCGCGCTCACGGTCATCACTCATGTGCACGCGCTCACGTGCGATTGGCTGATTGGCATTAGTGCATGGCATGTAACCGGGGCTAATTGTCACAATTTTACTCAGGGAGGGTTAATGACAGAAAACTAATTTCAAACATTGACATCGTTATTTCCCAGGTGGGAAATTATTTACCACAGATCATAAAATGGGACAAGTTGTCACAATTGAAATCTGCTTTGATTAAAATATTTCTGAAATGTGAAATACTGTTTAATTGGGAAAAATCATCATCCATAACATCTGTATTTAAAAATGCATTGGCTTTAAGCATTTCAGGAAATTCAGTAAAATAGGCTATTAAAAATATAAAGTCTATAGAAATACTAACACTTGACACATATCACATCATCATCATCATCCTTTTCATCTTTATTGTCATGCTTAAAACAAGAAAAACACATAGAAGTAACCTTTAAATAAATATGTCTTATTACACTGTCTCAAGTAACCTTGTTTTAAGGAAGTTTCCTGGAAAAATAGACAAGAATACTCATCATGGATATATATTTATTATGGTAATATATATGGCAATATGGATTTCATCAGAGAGCAGAGAGGGTCTCCATAAGTATTTTGCCAATTTCATATATTACTATTTTCTTAAATATATACATGCATGTGTGGGTATTTATATACAAATAAATTATACACACTATATATTATGTAAACACAAACTTTTATTTTGGATACGATTAATCGCGATTAATCGTTGCCCATCCCTATTGCCAAGCTTGGAAAATGTCCAGGTCAAATATACTGTATACATTAACTTCTATAATGAAACTAAGGTGTTTTCAAGAGAAGATGAATTCTCTGGATGTCCTAAAAACTCCTGACCATTTTTTTAATATTTCATGGAAATGTTATTTCTGAACGTTCTCCAAAACATCCAAGTAAACCCAACGTATAACTAGCTAACATTTTTGTGCAAACATTTTTGGAATGTTACAGTATAAAGACCACAGATAACCATAAACGAGTACATTCTATTAATGTTACAAAAAGAACGTTTAATAACTTTGTGAGAATCTTGCGAAAGTTCTAAGAACATCTGCAGTTATCTGGGGAATCTCTGCCTGTCTGATTTGATTTGTAAGCAATAATTCAGGTATTGTGAGTGTGTGTGTGTAGTCCTCCGGGACGGTCCAGCACTGTGCTACGGTCATGGACAGCACAAAGGAACTGCTGCTGTCATAAAGTATTTTTGGCACAGAGAGTGGATCCCCCTGGGCTCAGGATCCAGCTGACCCGCAGTCCCGTCTGCCTTTACAGCTAATGAAATCTAGCATCAAATCTACGCAGTATCATATTACAGCTCCTTTTTAAACTAAATTTAATGTGGAGAGGAACAGACTGCGCGGTGTTTGTATCGCACTCGTTAAACATGCCGACTATCATCTCTCACTCCAGCCGTAACGACGAATGCTCTCAACATGTTCTCAAGATGATGCAGGAGTTTATGAATATCCCGTCAGCCATGCATCTTTAACACAATATGATGTATTGTGCTGTGAGCGAAACTTCCACTTAAAGGGATACTTCAGGATTTAGCATTAAGCTTTGTAGGCTATTAGTATAAAACCTGTATATTTTCCCTGACTGAGAAAAGAGATTTATGTTTTTTTTATATAAACAATACAAATACTGTTGGTTTTCTCACTCAAACCGCTCGTTTCGTGTCTTAGGCCATCAATGTGTACGAGTCATTAAATCATGTTTAATTTTGACTTCTCTGTGCATGTTTTTTGAGGTGGTGACCATAGACTTCCATTATATGACTGACAGACAAGAACGGTTTGACCTAAAAATATCAAAATTGAAAATACTGTGGAAACAATGCCCTTGAGGTAAGCTAAAACATATCAAAAATTAATTTCAAAGTGCGCTCTGTTATCGGTAGGCGTGGCCTCCTGGGGCTGTGAAGCAAGTGCATTCTGGGAGTTGTTGTCTTTCATAAGCTAAAAAAATACATTTTCTGGCTTTTCTCAGTCTAGAAAGCTCCAAATTCAAAAATAATTTCACATTTCTTATACACAAATACACATTCATCTTTCCAGAGGTGAAGAATCCCTTTAAATAAACTATAGCTGTGGTTGCTTGGACTTTAAGCCTACCATAGACAAGTTTTGCAGATTGAACTTCAATCTGCAGATTTAAAAATATATATTTTATTGACTGAAATTATGTTAATATGTCTGTAATACTGTGGCAACCAATAGTGTTACAGGGAAAACCACACGAAGAATCAAAGTTCATTAAGTAAAGCTCTTCCACAAGCTGAGGTAAATCCTAAAATATAGCAGTTTTTTTATGAATATGCTTCCAACAACAGCAGCCTTATTCATATAAGCTAGTAGCTAATATAGCTCATATAACTCTTATAGGTAATAAAGTTTTAAATATGGATATTTTTCTTACAAAAACACATTGTTTTGCTTCAGAAGGCCTTTATTAACCCTATTATTTTTTTATGATGGATGAATGCATTTTTTGGGGGGGCTTCAAAATAAAAGAGCTCGGAAGAGCCAGGGTATTTTTTTAATATAACTCAGATTGTTTACTACATTGATGTGTTGGCTTGAGGGCGAGTAAATAATAGGATAACTTTCATTTTTGGGTGAGCCCTTAAAGTCTGTATCCCAAAGAAGAATTACTATCATTTAAGTTTAGATAACTTAATAACAGTTGTTTCTGGATTCCAATGTTTTTGCCATTTAAGCTATGATTTCTTTAAAAAGGTTTATAGGAACAGGAATGATCCAGTTACTAACAGAGATGCTCAGAGCAGATCTTAAAGGGATAGTTCACCCAAAAATCAAAATCCTGTCATAATTTACTAACTCATGTTGTTCCAAACCTAAATTAATTAATTTATTCTGCTGAACACAAAATAATATGGGTAACTAAACAGTTGAGGCACTTTTGAAACAACATGAGAGTTAATAAATGATGACAGGATTTTGATTTTTGGGTGAACTATCCCTTTAACTTTGACAAACGTAATAAATCCTGCGGCATTGTGAATGATAACCCGTACTTAAGATAGTCGTCTCATATCCCTCGTGTATTAACTTGCAGGAATCTAGAACATGATGTGATTTTTGACGTCTTTTTTTCAGTGTAAAATGGGTCAGATTTGTCATTTTAATTATCCACATAATTGACTTATTAAGGACTTGTATCAGATAGACGTTCTGCTCTACCTGCTCTTATCTCTGGATGAGAAATCGCTCTCTTTCGGGTTATTGTCAGGGGATCGACGTCCTCATCTGCTATTATGAAGCTGTGTAACGAGTGTCTGTCATTTATTTGCACCTGAGAGGTTACCTGTAATTGTTGTTGTTATAAAAAACAAAGTCTGTGTGCATCGAACGGACCCATTACTGCTTTTAGAATTGTACAATTGTCAAAAACTGATTAAAACGCATGTATTCCAGCATAAGAAAGGCTGGTTTTGCTGCATGTTGTATTTTTAGTGATTCAATTGGGAGGGAAGATGCAATAAAAATGACAGCTGACATGCAATATATGCTCACGCTGCAGATGCAAGATTACTGTACACTTAAACAGAAAATACATTCAATTATAGTGCCTAAAATAAAGGTGCTTTATTGGCATTGAACCTTTAAAATCCACTGAACAAAAGGTCATTATAGTGTGTGAGTGTGTGTGGGGGTCTGTAATGAATTATGGACATGAATGCGAAGTATGCAAATATAAATATTATTTTTAGTGCTGTGAAACGATTAGTTGCGATTAATCACATCCAAAATAAAAGTTTGTGTTTACAATATGTGTACTGTGTATAATTAAAGAGTTCAGATGCAAAAGCCTCTAAATGCCATTTGAAATTTTCTTCTTTAATGATGATTTTTATCAAACTTGTATATTTAAGTTCAGTAATTTCACTTAAATAACAATTAATAGGTAATTATCATTGCCATTTAAGTGAAATTACTGAACTTAAATATACAAGTTTGATAAAAATCATCACTAAAGAAGAAAATTTCAAATGGCATTTAGAGGATTTTGCATCTGAACTCTTCAATTATTTTTGTATGTAAAATACACACATGCATGTATATTTTAAATATATATTTATATATAAAACATGTAAATTTATATATAATATAAATTAAATATGAATACAATGTATACATGCAAATATTTCTTAAATATATACATGCACGTGCTGTGTTTTTATATATATATGTATATAATATCTAAACACCAATTTTTATTTTGGATGCGATTAAATATGATGAAGTGTGATTATTACAGTAGTTGATTTAGTTGTGTTGTGTAAACTAAGGTTAATACTTCTATGGGTGCTGTGCAGTGATATCATACACAAACTGGTGAATGGCTACTGTAAAAAAAATATTGTAAATGTATCGGTAAACTACTGTAAATTCTACGATATAAACCTGTAAGTAAGTTAATTCCTCACTCTACGGTGAAAACTGTAATAGCCTGGATCTAATTGGACATTTTTATAAAATATGCAATTCAATGTACAGTTTTTGGAAGTGAAAAAGATCTGAAATTGCATAGGTATATAGGCTACTATACATCTGGTTAGAAACTTTCTTCAAGGGCTTTACTCCGGCCTGAACATGACAACATGTTAAAGACACTTCTTTCAAGTCTAGATGGGGCCATTTAAAATAAAGAGAGAGAAAAGAGAGTTTTCAGGAGTGTGTGAAAGTCCATCCTGGCCATTTCTTAAAACCAAACTGCAAAAATTGTGAAATTGTGAAGTTTCAGAAAAACTCAAATGCTGTATACAGGTGAAACTTGAAAATTAGAATATTGTGCAAAAGTTATAATTATGATGATTATGGCTAAATTCTAAATCTCAGAAAATTAGAATATTACATGAAATCAATAATAAAAAAGGATTTTAAATACAGAAACGTCAGCCCTCTGAAAAGTATAATCATGCATATGTATATTAGTTTCACCTTTTAATATCAAAGACTGAAATACATGAA